TGTATTCCGAGAGCCTGCTGAAATACGTTGAGTGACTTCTGTTTAGTGAATGATAGTTATGCTTAGGTATTCATATTCTAAATGGAGCTGTACTCAGTTTAAATTTCTTTATTTAGATATATTTTATCTAAATAATAGATCTTATTAAATAAAATTTTTAATTTTAATTATTAATTTTAATTAATTAATTTTAATTATTAAAATTAAATTATTAATAAAAATCTTATTTTATTACAGCATTCGTACTGTTAGGTTTATTTTGCATGATCTGATCTATTGCTAATTAGCCTTTCCTTCAGGGTCAGTTGATTTAATTTAGGCACATAAGAACCGACAGCAGAAGGGAAGTTGTGAGTATCAGTGCATTTGGTCACTGCTGACCTGAGAGGCTGAATTAAGCGTAGAATCGGGTTTGTCTTTCAGCCATGGTGAGCCAGTTGGCTGTTTTACAGGATGGGCAGTTCAGGATATGGGTATCTGTGTCATCCGCTCAAACAGTGGATGGTTACGTTTTGTCTTCCTGCCTTGCTAACCGCCATTGGCTTTAATCAGGATCTGTGCATCTGTCTGTGTAGCTGGGCTGCTCGCACACTTCCCTGGTGGCTCATGGCGGCGCTCCTCCTGCTGTGCAGTGTGTGTGAGGCACAGTGAGTGTGGGCTGAGGGCTGGGAGCAGTGCTGGCGCAGCTCCTCGGCTGTGGGAGCTGCGTCTGGGCCGCTGCTCTGTTCATAGGGGCTCCGAAAGGCCTTTGCTACATGACTTGCTCACACGGTGGTACTCAGCAGTTCAGGTGCAGTCGGTTTGGCTGTGAAAGCCCCCCTGATTCCCTGCGACTGCTCAACAGCTGAACGAGCTGTCATTGCAGGCAGCAGCAACACACAGAGGATATGCTCTGGCTTGGCAGTGTGGAAGCAGTTCTTGTACAGCCATGCAACAGGAGTCTGCTCGTAGAAGGTTAGGAATTCAGTTGAGACTTTTTGGCAGCGCTAAGCCGTGTAAGGATGCGCAGTTTCTGTTTTCTCGTTCACCTGTATGCTTTCTGTGCAGCTTTGCAGTCCTTTTTTGGCAGAGTGGCTGCTGCTGTTAACACCATCACATCAACATGGCTGTAAATATCAGCAAGTCACAAGTGAGGCATTGTCTCTATTGTGTGTATGTTTTTACATGCATAAAATCGGATGCTGAGATTTCATTTAAGTTTCGTGTGTTTCATATCCTCTTCCCTGTTTGTAAGAAGCCGGGCAAGTTATGCATCTTATGAGTCCGTAGCAGCAAAACCAGTCTAGGCAAGCCAAGCAAAAAGCCAAGGAATGACATGGAGTTGTTTGGGAAGACTTAAAAAGGAAATTTTATGCCGTAGTGTGCAGGGAGCCCACATTTGTCTCGAGATTTCTCTGGTGAACTAACGCACTGTTAACACCATGGCTTTAAGGACTGAATCGTTTCTCTGGTATACAGGTTCCTCATCTTTCCTTTTTTCCTGCCATTGCCCTGCTCCATCCCTGCTGTGCATTTTGGTTTTGTTTTTCCCCTCCCTGGTTAGAGGTGGACCTTTTGTAATGCCTCTCTCTGTCCTCTTTCCCTGGAGTGCCTCTGGCTCCCAGCATTGCTTTTGGACCTATTCCCTGCCAAACCTGTTCCCGCTTACGTGCTTGTTTTATCTGTTGGTAACTGTACTGCCCCTGATTGAACAGCTCAAGCTGTGAAATATTATGGATTTCTGTCAGACTGAGGATGTCTTTATTTTCTAATATCATAGTTAGGAACAGTGGGCTAGTGCAAATGAATAGACCTGGCTCACTGGTACAGCAGTACCTATTGGAGATAGCTTTGTCCTGCTGGGGACTCCAGGAAGGCACTAAAAGGCACTGCTCTGCTCTTAGAGTAAATCCAGAAGGTGGAAAAATGAGGATGAACCACGCTAATGTGTGTTTGTGAGGAACCTTGTGGCTCAGAGTGAGTCTGGGAGGCAGGAACAGCATTTATGTCTAGGTGTTCATCGCTGGTTGTGGGCTCACCACTAAATTGGTACTGACTGCATCTGGCCAGCTGTCCCATAGGGCTGGGTGGGATGGTTGTTTATTTTTTAATTGCCTGTGAGGAGTTGGAAGAAAAGTGAAACAACTTGGTTTAAGTCAGAGAGACAGCTGTGTGTATAGCTGGGGTAAGAACTGCTAACGCTTTCCAAAGGCTTTTACTCTGTGATATGCTTACGGGAGGACTGCTGGAAGAACCAGCTTCTGTCAGCCAAACTGTTAGTAGTGGAGGTGGGATGTAAGGGCAGATCCTTTTATTTAAAGCACAGAAGGCAAGGTATGTGGATGCTGCACATTCTGCCAGAACAGATGAAAACTGTGTATCCTGCACCATCCTGAATAACAAAAGAGACCAATTTGAGGAGGCTTGTTGGCATCAAAGCAAGGCAGTCCCTGCTGCCAGCCCGTACCTACGGAATTATGCACAGTTCTGGCCAGCATATGAGCAGGCTGGCTGGGATGCTAACACACTGTATCCTACTTGCAGCCTCAGCTTTGCTGGGTTGCTCTGGTAAATTAAAGATTCCCTTTCCTGGCATAAAACGCAACAAGGAGTGGGAGTGAAGTGTGGCTGGCTTGTTCTCAGCTTGGAACAGCAGTGCTGCAGTTTGTCTGGCCAAGGGAATTGCAGCCTGCAGAGCGAGTCTGGCTTTCTGATGTCAGTTATTAGCAAGTCCTTAATTTCATCTAGTGTCATCTGTTGTTGTTATCTGTGTGTTTATTGGAGAAATGGCTTCTGAACACCTGTTGGAAAGAAGTGACTTACATCACTAGCTCTAGGGCTGTGTTTTGTCCTGATCTTTGTCATATTTGAATTCCATTGTAAAGTGCCAAATGTACGCAGAACAGAAATAATAGTCAAAAAACAAAAAACTCTGGTACATGTAATTGGGTGGTTGGCCATTTCTCAGCTGAGTTTTCACAGTGCTCTGGTTTGGAGATTTACCTTACTTGCAGCACTGCTGGCGTGGCTGAGATGGCGGTTCCCTGCGTCACTGGTGAGAGAGGGAAATCCATAAGGAAAACCAGTGTTGGCTGGGACCCTCTGCTGAGCTGCTTTGCTGGCTGATAGCAGTCTCCTTATTACATGTAAGAGTGGTTTTCTGGAGGGGGAGGGAGTGGAGGAATCCTTAACAAGCTGTGAATAATTTGCTCTAAGACTGGAAAGTCTGCAGAAGTGTGTCACAGTCGGGTGTGTTTGTGTGCGTACACCTGAGCACCTCTCATTGTCAAGTTTCTGATTAAATAAGAACATGTTTTTTAATAGGTTGGACCAATTAATCTTTAAGTAGTGAAGATAATTCTGGCATGAAAATACGTCTTATTTACGCTACTTGCTTTCTACAATTTGAAACAAAAAGTACCCTGTAAGCCCTCAGCTTCCTGACACTGGGACTAATTGAACCTTTACCTGCAAGACTGAAGGGTTCTCCTTGAGCTTTCTCTTACTCCTTGTTGTGGTTTAACCTGGCAGGTCCCAGCTGAAGCTAAGACACTCCTTTAGGCACTTGAACTGTTCTCAGATCAACCCTTGACCTTCTCTGTGTGGTGAATTGCTTGGACTGTAGGGCTGAACAAGAGCCTTTTCTGATCTTAGAGCTCTTCTGATCTCTTCTTGTTCCTCTTCTGACAGCTGTTTTCTGGAGCCCTGCACTGTCTGCATCCATGCCAGGCTGTAGATGCAGAGCTGAACAGCCCTTTCCAGCACTGGCTGTGCAAATAAATGCCAAATGGAAATGATGAAATGCTCTTAATCAGGATTCTCTCCCCCCCCCTCCCCTGCACCCTCCTTTTTTTCCCCCTTTCTCTACCTACTGTCTATTGCTAGCGTAGCACTGACTTGGCAAGCCTCTCTGCTGCCTTTTCAGTCTGTGTGAAGACTGTCCATGTACAATAGGGCTGTAAGCTCAGTCCTAAGAAATACAGAGAACGTGTGAAGGAAACAGGCTACTGAAAAAAGCCATCAGTGAGCTCTCCTGGGCAGTTGAAATAACACAGTAATGCACTGCACTTGGGAAAGCTTGCCTTTCTGCCGGAATCTCTTCCATTTAGAAGATTTACAGCAGATGGTTTGGCCTCTGGCTTTGTTGGCTTGTTTGTGTCTCTTGGTGTTCAAATGGACTTGTAGTCATAACGAGACCTCCTGCAGAGTTTCTTTCCTGCTGTCACATTTTTGGTCTCTGGGGATACATAATAGTGAGAGCCGGACCTGTGCCAGAAGCAGCGTGCAGGATTCCGGCTACCTTGTGCTCAGACCTCGGCTTCTGCGTGGGGCTGGGGGGGGGAGGTGAGATAAAGGGAAGAAGTGAACTCTTGGAGTGCTGTTCAGACTGAAGCAGTCTTGATGCCGAGCAAACCTGCTTTGGTGCTTTGCAGTGGGAGATGTCAGCAAGCACATTCCTCTGAGACAGGTGATGAGATTTATTGTCAGTCGCTTTGTATTCCCTAGAATGAGGAATAATTTATTTAAGAAGCGACTTCCCTGGAATTCAAGCTTTGAAAGTCATTGCTGACCCATTTGTTATTTCTGTCTCCCTGAAGTTTATGAAAACAGTTTTGTTTTTTTGTGTTGTACCCACGCGTTTTGCCACAAATGCAGCTTTCTTGTCCTGTAGTTCAATTCTACAGGCAAACTTCTGGGTAGATGAGATTAGTTAAATTTAATACTGATCAGATACAGCAGCTAGGACACTAAAATAACATTCCAGTCCTGGTCATAATTTAAAGAATACAGAGACAGCTCGCATCTGATTTAGGTCACAATGCAGTTCTTGAAGGTAATGCTGTGGCAGCGCAAGGAGGAGTGCGTGTGTTAGCCTGGAAGTGGCAAGCTGGGTCTGGCAGCTCTTGGTTTAACAGTAGTGGTGTGTTTAGGTGGCTGGGGAAAAGTCTGGGACACGCGGAGTGCGTAGAGAAACTGACTGCTGTACTCTGCTGAACTGACAGTTCTTTTTTCTGTTCTAGATGAAGGACCTAGCTTGTACTTCTGACTCCTATGTGCATGTAAGTTTGTGGACTTGATATCTAGTAATACATGCATCAATTTTATTTATGACCAAAACTGTGTGGGGTCAAGGAGAAACGAGAGCTGAATGCCTGTCTTGCAGAAAGGAATGTACAAATGAGTCATCCCACACCACTGTTAATGCCAGCATTGTAGAGGCAGCAGGTGGAGATGGAGGAAAAAGCTTACTGGAAAATTGTAATCCATGATGTAACCTCATCCCACTAAAAATCTCCCTAATTTAGCCTTGGTTAGTTCATCTGAAAGGCTCCGGAGAGGAAGCGGGTCTGAACTGTTCCAAGTTTGGTCAAAGATTAAACACGTGGATTTGCATTTTTTTTATCTTTGGGAGAAGGATCAACCTAAAAAAATACAGATCTAAATTACAGCAAATTGCATTGAGCTCTCTCTTGGTGAGAAACAGTCATTCTCCCCTCATTTAGTCTGGTTTCCTGCTGGGAAGGCTTTCCAGATGAAGAGTGTTGACAGCTAGGAGAAATAAGGGTACCTCCAATATTGTGTGTTCCAGGCATGTTTTTATTTTATTTTTTCTTTTTCTTTGACCATGCTCCAAACAACCAGAGGTGCTCATCCAGTTCTGGGTGTTGCTACCTGCGTTCTGAGGCCTGGGTTCGTCCCTCAGCTTTAGTGCTTTTCAAAAGACCCCAAGTTTGATGTAATTCAACAGGTAATCAGTGTCAAGAGCTGGATGTGTGCAAGGAGATGACTCAGTCTGTAAGATCTGAATTATTCTCTGAAACTCCAATTCTTTTGGACTAGAGAGAAAGAATTCCATTACTGTGCATTTGAATACCCTGCTAAGCTGCCTGAAGGTAGCTGCTGCCAGTTTGAACCTATTGTGCATCCCCTTCCCTACCTGCAAGATCCCTCATGGGAATGTTTAGGTCAGCAGGCTGCTCTGTCAGGATGAGGTAGGACTGTGCTTCTTCAAGGCGTGATTGCTTCGGTTCTGAAAATCAGTTGATGTGCTTGATTTGCTGAGCATTACTTCTATGGCAGTGAGATTGTTAACATTTAATTTTTAAGTATACATTATCACGTCTGTTGAGGCTGACATCTTTGGTTAACACCCAGTCAATCTGAAAAGCAGGGCAAAGCAATACAGAGCCCTGAGAGATGTCTTGCTTGTCAAAGTGACAAATTGCCCTTTCTGAGTCAAAGGACCAGCTTGCATTTTGGGGCTGTGTAGCTACAGGGGAACGGGGAGGGGAGCATGGGAAAAATACCCTATTAGTTTAGCTCTTCCCCAGTGTTTTTTTGTTGTATGTTGCTGAGTTGAAGTTCTTTGTTTTCCTCAATCTAAAACAACTTCTCAGCAGGTTGAGAGGAGCAAGGCCCCTGGGACTCTGCCTCTCCCACTTCTCATTCTCATAAACTGTTTACAATCTCCCTCCGTTTTCTAGCTTTGTATGGAAAAGTTCAGTGGGTCAGCTTTCCCTTTAGCTTCATCCATCATTCCAGTCAGTTAGAAATAGTTGAGGGCCAATTGCCCGGTCTTCCATTAACTGAGACACTTCAGATTGTTTAAAATAGCATAAAAGCTCTTTGTTGGCCGTTGGGCTAGCGCCCTGTGACGGGCAGCTACCGTGTGGCTGAACAGAGCCCCAGTGTGTCTGGCTCTGTTTGGGGGCTGAATGTTACTACTGCAGGCCTTGTTTGGGTTTGATTCCCTCTCCTTCACCTCTGCCTCTTGCCTTCCCTGAAAGGTGCGATGCCTTCAGATGGTGAATTGCCAGACCCGCTTGCAAAAAAAGGCTGCGTTGTGGCTTTTCACAACTGCTGTAGTAGAGGGAGGTGTTTTTCAGCTGGTGAAAAGTTCCTCTTTAACCTTGGTGCTTAAAAAGCTCTTGGCGTTGCTTGTTAGTTGCTTGTCGTGTGTGTTTCTGAAGGACAAAGGAAGTGTGTAAGTGTTCAGGAAATACCTCGGGCATTGCAGTGTGCAGCTGAGCTCACCCTGGTGCCCGTGGCAGGGCGGCCTGCTTTCATGGAGAGCCGAAGTTTTGCCTCATTTGGAGCTGACCAGCCCTGGGGTAGAGCTGGGAGAGAGCTCCAGCAGAGCACTTGAAGCTTGTTACTGGTTGATGTGCTTGGGTGCACCTTGAAGTAAACTAATACATACATACACACATAGACATATATACAATTTTCAGGTTATGAAATACAGATTTCAGGTTATGCTTAAGCAGTGAAGTATGTGTACCAAGAGGAGATTAGCAACAAAGTACTTCAGTATTCTCACTTTGAAATTGTTGCCTGCCTTCAAACTCTTTCCAATGTCGTACACTGCCAGGTTTGTTTCAGTGTGGCCCAGTCCACCTGGATTTTGGTGTTCAGGAGCTTGAGTAACACAATATCAGTAGGTCCTACTTGTACAGCAGTAGTTCCTTTGGTTGTGAAGAGTCCTGAGAGCTGTGACTGTGCGGCTGTGCTTGAGGCTGATAGCCTGGACCTTGCTTTTGGAACCGGAAGAATACTGTGCATGGCAGCCCTTGAATATAAGGCCTTCTCATTCTTCAGCTTCAATTCCTCCTGCTTGGATTTCAGCTGTTGAACTGCTGCAGTGCACAAAATGCTCTCTGGACAAATCAGGGCTGAGGGCACAGCAGGGATGTTTTGGTGGAGAAAAAAAACAAACAAACAAAAACAAACAAAGAAACCAGCAGAGCTTGGCAGAACAGGAGAATGTGATGATAATCAGATTTAGGAGATTGCAGCAGCTGGGGAGCTAGATCCTGTGCTGGAAAAAGGTCCGCCACGGATACACCAAGCTAATTTCACCACTGACTGTTCTGTACTTTGATGCCCTATGGAGATGTTGATCTGATGTATATTCTCAATCCAGGAACACAGTGATCTCGGTTGCCTTTTTTCTTCTTTTTTCCTCCACGTTCCTTCAGCAAAGAACAGCCTGAGAACATCAGAGCTAGAATCGCAGACCTGAGCTGCAAGGAGGTCCATGGGACACGCCACGTCAGAACTGAGTCTCAGACCAAAACTCATGTTTGCCTGCTTTGCACTTGTAAGCAATCTTATGCTTTGCAGAAACTGAAGCTTTAATAAGTAATTCAAACAAAGCATAGGAAGGGTAGAAGAGAGAATCCCTATTTGATTCAATTAGCGCTGGTGTCCAACGCCATTAATTGTGACCAGCCTTCTGATGTTTTTCACAGGAGTTGATACACTTGAGCTTTGTCTGTGCTGGGGCAACTGAGGACAAGTTTGTCCACTGATGTAGAATCCCGCTTTTGTGCTCTGCAGAACCCTTCAAATTTGGTATCTAACAGTAGCCTGGAGTAAGCAGTAGCCTGAATAGTCTGCATTGCAGTCTGCTGAACAAAGGATACGTCTGGGAGAATGATGATTCGATGTACGTGTTTTCCCTGTGTTTGAAGAGGGACTGTTTTAGTGGAAGTAATAATATCCTGCAATTTAATATTATTTCCAGACTCTTTTAAATCGTTTCATAGGCAGCAAATAAAGAACTTTGTTTACTGTTTTAAAGTAGAATGTCTGTTCCTCCTAGGGGAGGTTATTCTTTTATTAAAAAAAGATAGAAAGTAGCTGCTTTGATGGAAATGTAACTCCAGGAGTTGAGATGGTGATGATTACAGAAGCTGTAGTATTCTAATGCAAAATAAGCCCTAGGAGATATGTGCCCTAAATAGTAAATCACTCTGTTTTTTTAACAAAGCAAGAATTACTATTATTGTGTTTTTTGCTTATTTTACAAGGTCTTTAGCTGTTTCATCTGCACTTAACTTTTACAAGCTGGGGATAAATTGATGGTTGATGTTGTTTTGCTGTTTAAATAGCTTGGCATTTTTAAAGCATAGCGGAGATGGGAGTGAAGGATGGGATTCATTTGGCACTCCAAAAAGCAGGGAGAAAAACTGTGACTGCTGGTATCCAGTGCTCTAACCTAGATTAGAATCTGATCTTATAACTTAATGTTTCATAATTTTCGTGGAAGGGGCTGAACACCATTATTTCAAGAGGACCTTGTGGGTAATGTGTCGGCTGCAGGAGGAGTCATGAATCCTGACAGGCCCTCATTAAAGAGGACTGGAAAGAAGTTTCCTTTGGATTTCATCTTTCCAGATGCTCCACTGGGAGCAGTGTGGTGGTTGCTGATCCTCTGGGGCTGGGGAACCAACCCCCTCTGGTTTGGCAGCGTGGGATGGGCTGCAGGGTCGTGGCTGTGGGAGAGAAAGGGGATCGCCGTCCTGCTTTTGCTTTGTGGGTTTTCTAAACTGGAATTACGTCCTTCAGCAGGCAGGAAATTACTGGTAGGATTATTCATTAGGAGTGTTGTATTCCGGTTCTATCTGGTAATTTATGTTTTACTTTGGATAATTAGGCTTAGCTGCCAAATGTTTGGAATCTGAGATGCTGAGATGTGTTTAACAAGAGCGTCCTAGATACTGGCTTAGAAGCTGAGCACTGAAGAAGGTGGTTGAGAGGGGTAGGGTGTCCCAGTTTTTTTGCAGTTTGTGATGACCTAAAATCCATAATGGAGGAAACTAAAAATGGAGAAAGTCTTTGCATCTTTTTTGTGTTAATGCTAGCTTGTGACAACTGCACGTTAGTGATGTGGAACAAGTACTGGTTGTGGAGATCAAAGAGCCGCCTCCTCAAGCTAATTCAGAGAAAAGCAAGTTGGCTGGTGTTCTGTCCTCTTTGCTCACTGCTTTTTTCACTGGATCACGTACTAAGAAGTAAAAGCATAAGGAGATGCAGTCTGCTGAGTTATCTATATTAGGAAATCTATCTTGAACTTTGGAAGCTTTTATTTCCAATGCTTAGGACAGTCTCTTGCTAACACTGCCTTTTTCCTGTAGGAATGCAGATCTGTACCTGAAACTTCACTTTAGAAGCAGCCATGGGATGAAAACTGCCTTGGTGTTCATTTAAAGTCAGTATGTTCTAGTTTGCAATTCACTTGTGTTTAAGTGCCCACCTTTAAAGCTTTTCTTTGCCCACAGGCAGTCTGAATACAAAGGGAGACTGGTGATTTTTTTTTCTTTTATGAAGAAAAGTATTGCAGAAGCAGAAGGAGCAAAATATGGAAGGCAGACAGAAATCTCCTCAGATTTATTATCACAAAGCAGAATTTTCTTCTGAGAATCTAGAGGAAAAGGAAAATAGATGAATTCATGGCAACACCTTGGTGTGCAGCTAGGAATGAACAAGATGGATGCATCTATGCACGTACATGTGCAGAAGGGGTAGGACTCGCATCTTGAATCAGTTTTGGCATTTGATGCCATATAAGCAGCAAGGAGGTTTACCAGGACAAGGTACAACGAAGGAATCTATACATGGTAACTGATGTCTTTGGTCATAGCCAGACTTGGATTGCACAGAGATAACAGAAGTTTTGAGTCTCCGCTGTATTGCAGTGCTGTGTAAGTTCTTCTGTTTGGAGGGAAGCTCTGCAGTGGGTTGGGGAAAGCTGAACTGCAGCTGTAATTTCATAGCTTCAGGATAAAGAGCGGATTTGTGTGTTTGTCCCAGGAGCTCATTTCCCTCCTGAACCTGTAGGCGGAAGACAGAACCAGGCATCGGAGCTCTACCATGAAGTATTAAGAGTGTGTCCTGAGTTGCTGAACACTGAATGGGGAGATTTTCTGTAGGATTTCAGAAGCCTTGCTCTGGCTGGCTGTTTCCGTTGTCTGAGTTGTTTCTCGATTTCGATAGAAGCAGGAGCGGTGTCTGCTTATCTCTGTGCTGGTGGTGCAGCACAGCTCCTTTGAAGGTTGTCTGTTCTGCATTTTGACTGAGATGGCTGCCTGAATCTTACTGCCACGGTCTCGGTTGTTATCGTGACTTACCTGGAGGTGAAAACAGCTGGCTTACTCAAGTCCAAATTTCAGAATGTAAGAACATTGCTGTAAATAATAGAAACTGATCAAGGGCATCTTGGCTTGTTTCAAAGGGAATTACTGATCGTACAAGGATTAAGTGGCACGTTTTCCCAGTGGAGCTTAATGAGACCTGAGTACATTGCTCCTGCTCAGCAGAGATCAGGATGCTGTGCTTTGTGGCTTACACTGAGTGCAGCACAGCAGAGGGTGGTCTGAAGTCCACGGCCAGGACAAAGTGCAGCTTTGGGACTTTATGTTTAGAAAATAGAACGTTACAGTTCTCTGATGGGGAGGCTTTCACAAAATGAGAATATTTAAACACTGATGTAATTAGACTTGGCTCCTGTATGGCAACGGTTCCTTCCCAATCGTTTTGTTTTCTTGTGATGTGAAAAGGTATACGGAGTTTGCCTATGCTATTTTTGTTAGAAAAAACATATTAACTTTGTAAATTAAGGTCCTCTGTCATTCCTTTCCATTATTAAAAGAAAAATGTGTGTATGTAAATGTATATATATGCATTTATTCCTTAGAGCTTTTCTATGTATGCCTGTTTGACAGGACGTGCAAATAGAACCCTGCTTTGGCTCTGAGGCCTGTGTACCATGATAGCTTCAGGGATTGCAATGAAATGAACAGTCTGCCATTCTGTCTCGCATAGCTGAGGGTTCATCATGCTGGAGAAAAGGCTTATTTCTCAGTATGTAAGCCAAGTCTTTATTGGCCACATGCTGTGAAACTTCTGAAATATGTTCATGTACCAAAGGAGAGCTTCTCTGATTGCTGTGCTGAGACACAATTGTGTAAGAGAAAGGAAAGTTCAGATGTTTGTGCTGGTGAGAAGCAGAAGCATTCTCTTTGGGCAGCCTTCTTGCAACAACTGGCCTGTGCTCGTTTCTCTCTGTGCAGTGTTTCTTTGTGCTGTCTGTCCCTTAATGCTTTTCAGTGAGCTTATAGCCATGTAGATCTTCTGCACTCAGCAAAGGGAAGATGTCAGAAGAGCAACATTCCACGTAATTCAGCAGTTAATTTTCAGCTATCTATTTTAGGTTATCATTGCTTTGGACAGTTTGAGACAGGTGTCAGTTTGATAGTAATTCTTGATGTTTTATAGCCTTCTGTAGTCTGAAACTGAGTGTATTTTATCAAATGGAAATAAACTTTGAGTGTTGTGTAAGATAAACTGCTCTGAAACCCAATGGTCTCATTCAGTACATAACAGAAAGAATGTTTTATGTACAAAAATTCCACTCCACCTACACTGGGCACTGGAGAGGAAGCTTAAGACAGGCTTAAATATAAGGCAGCAGTCTGTTAGCCCGTAGTGGGTTGCCTATAAATACAAAGTTCATTACAGCACACTCACATGATTTCCATTTACCCAGTTGAGCTCAGCCATAATAGCATAGTTACATGGTTGGCATTTTTTGAGACAGAGGATTCTTCTTTCTCTGAATCTCCATTTGCAAGTTGTTAGGTAAAATGTGTTGTTCGATTGAAAAAGATGAAATCAGTAAGATATGCATGCTGTGATGGTAGAAGGGAAAAATGGTTTTTTTGCTTGCTTCTTTAGGAACAGAGCCCCAGTAACCAGACATCTATAGCAATGATGCAAGAACCTCAGGAAATGGTGGAAGAAACAGTTACTGTGGAGGAAGATCCAGGCACCCCCACTTCCCACGTGTCTATTGTCACTTCTGAGGATGGAACAACAAGGAGAACTGAAACCAAGGTGAGAGGTTAATAACTGACAAGGAAAATGGGAGAATACCGTCTACTCAGGAAGTAAAGTAGAACGAGTGGTGAGAATCATGCTGTTGTGATCCTCTGTGATTCTGACTGTGTTCTCTTTGCCAGCAAAGCTGAGCTAAGTTTTTTTTGTCAGTTTGTGTCTGGTTTGCTCTCCGTCAGCAGTGCTGATACAGCTGCTCATGGAGCTGTGAGCTGAGCAGTAGAAATTACCTAGGTTAACCAAACAAAAACACCAGCACCCATTCCTCGACTGATAATTATTTCAAAGTTCACTTTATTTTACCGACACAGATCACAGCATTGCCCTGCAAACACATATGGAAGTATGAGACTTAGATGAGATGGAAAGGCATGGAGTAAATGATTTTTACAGCTGGGGAAAATGTGCTTGGAAACGTGTCTTCAAATTAATTACGATTTGTAATAATAGTATGCAATTATACTTTTTCCTCTAGAACCATAAATATCACATTTAAATAAAACTGCAGTATTTACCTTCTGCAACATTCTTGTGAATGGAATTTTACTCCTGATGCATTGGGAAAGCTAGGTATGTTATCGAGTGACCTGTGCCTCAGGTTCAGAGATGCTGTGTATCTTCTTTTCCTCATGCTGCCTTTTTTAGCCTTCACGTAAGATAAATTTTCAATCTCTGCTGAGCAGATGCTGCACGCTCGCTCCTGCCTTGCATGCTTCTGGTATTTCTGCAGCGGTAATACAGCTTGACATTTGGGCCTTGGAAGTTGAGCTGACATGTTCATTAGGTTTTGGTCTTCTGAAAGATCAAGGGTGACTGCTTATTGAAAAACTTCTGAACAACAGTGGTTTTAAAAAAAGATTTTCCAGCTGCTTTTTATGTTAGGAGGTGAACAGAGGTTTTTGCATAAATCAGTGTTTATTTTTCTGGCATTCCAGAATTGTGGCTGTCTGAGGTATCTGTTGAGGACATTGGAGTCTCAGGTTAGAGGGATTGAGCATTGGTGCTCTGAGATCAGTGGGTTCTGCATGCACTGAGCATCCATTTAAAAAGTTGTTAGTTAAATGTTGTAACTGTCCTGTTTTCCTTCTGTTGGAAGGAAATGATGGTCTTAAAAAACAAACAACCAAAAATAACACGTTGTGATTAGTCCTTCCAATAATCTGACATTTTTCAGATGTAATTCATTTGAAAGAAAGTCTGCTTTCTTTCTAGTGGCAACAACAGCTGTTCTTTGCAGGAAGGAAGAGGTAAAATTACAGTGGTGATGGACACCTTTTCATATGGACTAATAGTAGTGCATATTTTTAGGAGGCTGTTAGTGCTGCTATGCCAAGGAATAAAATAGCTATGGGCATAAAAATAGAGTGGAGGCCATGCAGTGTTCCCTAGATAACAGAACCACATGAAATACTTTGAAATAGTTATGCTAATGATAAATTTGTGTCTTTGTCATAACAGAAAAAGTTCAATTTTCTCCTGTGCAGAATGCCTGCTGTTTTTCCATCTTCCCAGAGAAAAGTTGAGTGGTGGCTCCAAAACAAGCTATTCTGTCTGCATATGGGAAAAAATGCAAAAATGACATCCCTACAAATGCCTTTCCGTTTCAAAGAGCTGCATTCTCCTCTCTTAACTGTACTTCATTCCCGATACTGTAGTGTGTTCAGAACAGGGAGAGGGTGCACAGTAGTCTTCCTCTGGTTTTATGTTGTTTCAAATAATTCTGCTGACCTCTACTTACATAAGAAGGCTGCTCTAAAAGTAATGCCTGCTATTTATGTGGGCCCACGTTGTCAGAGGCACTCACCAGCACTTACTGAACTTTGATGGAGACCAAGCAGCGGCTGTGAGCACAGTGAGCAGTGGGTGGTGCATTTCAGCAGCAGTGACGCTCGGTTGTCTCCACTGGTGCAGATGTTTAGGAGCGTGGCATGCAGCTCTTGTTCATTGCACAGCTGATGGTGGTGGTAGTGCTGACAAGTAGTATTCTGGAGCTGAGAATTTGCTCTGTCAAACAGTGTTATTGTGCTCCTTGCATCTGTTGTAGTTTTCATGGAAATGAACAGGAGGCATTACTTTCAGAGCAACCTGCATTCTATCTGGAGCTGCTACCTAGTTTTTTGTTGCTAAAAAGACCAACTTTTTATATATAAATACAGATTTGTATATGTACATATCCAGCTGTTGAGAAAGTGCCTCTGAAATGTGAAAACACAGATGGTGTTGGCCTAGCCCTAACTGCTGAAAGAGACCCTGAGTCTGCTGAAGTTGTTGCTGTCTCTGAATGGTTTTGTTTTGACTTCTCCTTGCTCTGATAATATGGCACAGGTTTAACAGCTCTTAGATATGGAAACAAGATCAGATTTTCTTTGTATTTTTATTTAATCACGTTATTTTCAACTTGTGTTTATAGTGTTGATAGTGAAAGTGAAAATGCAAACCGTTGTTGTTGGAAGTCCATAGCTTCAGTTAAGTGTCCTGGAGTTAATTGGCATTGACTTACTATCTCTTTTAGTAGGTATCATCGTGGTGGCTTTGTAGGTCATGCTATTATGTGTTAGTGCCTTGCAGGGAAAATGAAGCTTCTTCACACCTTCTGTGTGGTCACAAAATTCTGACCTTGCTGTTCAGGTGAGGACAGTGAAGGAGGGTTTCTGTGTGATGTGAGATGCAAACCCATCCCCTGGGCAGGCAGTGTGCTGCGGGAGCAGCGTTCCTGCTCTGAGGGGTACGTGTGGTGAAGGGGCTGAGGTGCTCAGCCTGGTCAGTGCTGTGCTCTCCTGCACACAGGGTAACTGAGCAGTTTCCATCTCCCAGAGGCTCTGCTTCCTATCTGAACCTGCACTGCAGTCAAGGCATTTCCACTCTGTCTGGGTTGGGACCTGCCCAGTTTGATGACCTCGAAGTTTGGCTGTCAGGTACATTGCCACTGTATTATGACAGTAAAATTACATCCTCAAGGCAGAAATTTTATCCTTCCTGGTTTGGTATCTGCCCAGTAGAACAGGCCAATGCAGTTACACATTGCCTTTTAAGACTTGCATAAGGATTGTTCATTTATGTGGCTGTTTGCATAATGGAGTTCAGTAAGGAGTGGGACAAGCTGTGGCCTTGATTGTGGTGTCTGCTTTTTATCACTGTAAAGGAATGGCATTTCCTATGAGGGGAATCCTCACATCTGCTTACAGCAATAATCTTATCTGTTACTTCATGAGGGTGATAGTTAATTTGAGATTACTCAGGTTTGTGCTTACACGTTAGGCTTAGTAGAAGTTTTATGCTTTGCTGTTGCACTTAATCTCAGCTTCTTTGGAGAAAGGCTCAGAACCTGTCTTGGTTATCTCTGTACTTAGAAGGTTCTCCTGGCCATGGGCAGTTGCATTTTCCAGCCTTGATGTACAAAGCAGGTGGTGCCACACATTGCTTCCCATGACAAAGTTACATAGGCTGTGTTTTTAAGAACTGAAGAGACCAGAGGGATCTTCCAGTGTGTGCTTTCCTTGCTGCATACCCCCTGTGGAGGTTAGACAGCTCCATGTGATTTGGTATGTGTTTTTGGACTGTAAAAGAAAACTATTGTTTATTTTTGCTACGCTGTACAAAATAATGCCTATAAATGATTCCCCTTGAACCGCAGCACAGCCAAAGCTATAAGTGCATATGATCCTTTGTGCTGCTGTTCCTCATTTTCTTGTACAAATCCCCCCTGTTGTTTGAAAACCATAGTTTACAGAGGTCCTCTCTCCAATAATACATGAAGTAAACCACTTCAGTGCAGAAGCATCGACAGTTTGTGCTTTCCCCCCATGTCTCTGAAGATGCCTGCTGCAGGGAAGCAGGAAGAAGCGTAATAGAATTTAATATTTGACATATTTTAAATAGAGAACATCTGCCTTCTCAAAAATGAGATATCTGAGTAATTTTCCCCCAACTGTTATTATCTTAGTACTATGCTGGCTAAGTCCCTACGTAACATTTGCTGCACAAAAGATGTATCACATAATGCTTCATTTCAGCTTCATAATCTCTCTGGAAGCCAAATACCTATCATACTCCAACAGTGAAAGTCACCTTGGGGAGAGGGCTGCTAGGAGGCTGCTGTGTCAGAGAGGCTGGTTTGAAAGCAGCTGAAGAGAAATGAAGTAAAACAAACAGGATTTGTGTGCTCCTGTTAATGCTTGCTTTATTCTTTCTTTAGGCGCCTCTCATATTTGTTGAAATGCAAGAAGATTTGAGAGCTCTGGGTCACTTTTATTCATTGAAAAAGATGTTTTATGGTGACAAACTGTAAAATCAATCAGTATACAGAGTTGTTTCATTTCCAGGCCATCCATTTGCCTTGTCTTCTTCATACTGAAGGCCAGGTCTTTCCCAGCAGCGATTATTGCTGCTCTCCTTTCCTAGCAGCAGTAACTGGAAGGTGCTCGTGACTTGAACTCTTCTGCTGTGTTGGTGCCAGCTACTCTGAGATGCAGTTCTTTGTAACTTTGCAGAAAATTCAAGAGGAATTAGGTAATAGAGCTGGAATGGATTTCTGCCACAGTTGAGGGTCCTTTGAGAAAGTCAAACACTAAGCTTAAAATTGCAGAGGAAAAACGTGAGCTGTTGTTTTGAAAACCTATGGGGCGAGTTCTTACACAGCATTTAATAGAAAGGTAATACCTTCGGACTGCTCGGGCTGATGAATTTTTACAGTCCATAGTTGAAAAATGAGCTCTCGGAAACGTCAGAACACCTTTATCCTTGCACATTCTTTCTCATCTGTTTCTGTTTTATGGCAGTTTCAACAAAATTTTTAGCCGTGTCAGCTTTTATAAAGTACTTAATTCATCAGAGAAAGGGGGAAGTGGGGGGAGTTGGGGGAGGTACAAAAGTGAAAAACAAAAGCCCTCCATAACGAGGTAGAAAGTGGGAGCTGTAAGCACTTGCTGAGATGACAGCAGTGGACGGTGACAGCACTCTTCCACTGAGATCTCAGCGCTGTCTTTCCCCCCTCTGAGCAGTGTGACGTGGAGGAATCTATGTGTAGCACCTGTACGTGCAACCAGTGAGTCCAGTCCTGGGCCTCTTCAGGCCTGCTTTCCTGTCACTTTAAGACAAATAAAAGGACAAGGAACGGAAAAATACAGACACTGTTTCAAATGTACGGACATTTCCTTTGTATCTTACAGACAGATGTCTTCCCAGGAACATAACTAATGACATATAGAATAGCAAACGTGTATTTTAAGCATACTCAATCTTTTTGTAGAGAGGCCATCAGAAGCTCTTGACTGGCAGGCTGGGGGACTGTGGCACTGAAGCAGCTGAGCACCCTTTGATTTGTAATCAAGCAAAAAAACTCTTAGGATGGATTTTCTGTAGATAAACGGAGGAAGTCAGATTGCAGTGTCTCGAAGTAACTAGTGTGTCTAAATTGTTCACTACAGCATACCTACAGAGCAGAGTTCTTGCTAATAACTGGGTGCATCTGGAGGATCAGGTGGCAGATAAGACCGTCTGCCGGGTCTCCTGCTTGGAATTGCTTCGTTTTCTCTGGCTAATGTACTGGTATTAAGGAAACCTCAGAAATGTTGGGAGAGAAGATTACTGTGCTGTCAGCTGTCCAAGGCTGCCTCCCCTTTTAAGAAATATAATGGAAACATTCCCTTGAGCTGGATTTCCTGAAATAAAGGTTTATTGTTTTTCTTTTGCTTGGAAGCCTAATAAATGGACTTTCCTCTGTGTGCTGGCTAATTGCTTCCAAAAAGCTTGCCTTTATTGTCCTGTAGGCAGCAACGTCTGTTTATCACATGATAAATCTTCTGTTTCGTGCCCAACCCTGACAAATGAGGCATAGTGCAAATACTCCCTTGCTCAAAATATGAACAGACTTGATTTGACCCCCCCTCCCACAGTACCTTTGGCATTATTGGATGCTTTTATGCCATGAGAAATGTGTACTTCTGTGCTAGGGTGAAATGTTCCTTTTTATGTTTCTGACAAGGGTTTCTTGATTGTGCTGATTCCTTCTGCTGTTAATAGTGGGAACGTTCAGTAAATGATGGAGGTGAGGCTGTGCTGACGTTGTCAGCCTGTTCTTCTGCGTGCTGGCTGATGCCAGGGGAGTCTTTTTGACTAGCACAGCTGCTGGAAACTTGTCTGTGCTCAAATAAACAAAAAAGAGGCAAACTGGGAAAAAACTGCAAATGAATCCTGCTTTCTATGTTCTCTGTACTCTGTAGTAGACAGGAGCTTGGTGGAAAAACTGTGTTTAATTAAATGTAAATGAAAGTCACAAATCACGTAGGAATTGATTTTCCAAATGTTCTGATTCTCTACTTAGTCTTTTTTGTATATGCATACTGTCTGTAGACAGTTGTCCTTGCTCTGACATGACTGTGTTGTGTTACCCCATCCTGTCTGATAACAACAACGATTCTCCAGAAAAATGAGACAGGAGAAAACAAGCAAGTGTCCAAACTGGCAGCAGTGATGGTGGCTGAAGATGTGCCATAGTGACAGCTTCCTGCAAAGCACCTCTCCAGGGATCTGAAAGGTCAAAGCTTGCTCCTTCTTTTGTGCAGTTGCTGCAAGCATTCATGGTATATTGGGTATCTTGCATTGTCTGGTCTGGAAAATCTTGTGAAAAATGCACGTGACAAACTGTGCATACATTGCAGCACATGCCTTGAGAAGGAGAACTTGGAACTCAATTTAGAATGTCTGGCTTCTGTTGAGTAGTGCTGAAAGAAAGGGCTTTGTGTGGTTACACGAGCACTCTTCTTGGCATTGAGAAAGCTGCTCTTTTGTTCCTTACTGTGCAGAAGTATCAGTTTTCCAACTGCTGAAATGCTATCTTACTTCCTGTTATTCACCTTAACAGTTCACAACCTCAAGAATGTTAAAGCCTGGCCCTTTTTATCCAGTTGTGTCACTCTTTTGCAAAGCTCACGTGTTTCAGGCCTGAAAACATTGCATTTTCTCCTGTTAAAAGATCACTTATGAGCATAGGACTTTGAATAAAACTTTTGTTGCAAACTCACTAGGAGAATGCTGAGCTGTGTCCCACTTGTTTATGTCCACATTACAAAAGGCTACTGTAAGCTGCCCCAAATCTTTTTCATCCCTAAATGTCGTCCAGTTTCATAAATGCCATGGCAGCAGTTGTGCTGGTGCTGAATGGAGAGCTGAAGCATTGTGCTCAGGTAATGAGCAGAAGCCATTGTTGGTTTCTCTGTCAAAAACTGATTACTTTATAGCTCTTAATTCCTTTTTTTTAAATACTGCAGTATGCATTTTTAATTAAAAAATGGTGGGGGTGGAAAGTAGCATCTTTCCTGAAGCTGACTTACTAAGAAAATCCCTTTGAGAATTTTCAGCTGTGGCCCAAATTAGACACTGAGGTAGTGTTGGTACCTGGCTATGCTTTATTCAGCATTGTGATGGTACTTAATTATGCTGTTGGTGGAGAGCCATTTGTGCTGCTTGCCATCTTGCAGGATTTCATTAACTCATTAGCCTGAAGTATCATTTGCTCACAGATGTCTCTAGGAAAAGAAATACTATTTGGGTGAATTTCTCCTGTTTGGGGTTATCGTGAAGACGTGAGAGGACGCACCTGGAGCTGCTTCAAGAGGTGTACTCCTCTTCTTTTGTTTAGTAGCAGCTTGCCCAATTTTGTGCCAATCCTTATGTTTCAGTGGGGAGCTGCAGGTCACAGTATCTGTATCCAGATGCTCTTGGTGTATGAGTTTCACTCTGCAGTTTCTGTGAAGATGAGTGTTATTTACATATGCCCGTTTCTCTCTAATACTTGCATTGGAAGCCCAAAATTGCCAGCAGTTTTGTTGTGTGTTCTTCCCAGCGTGTAATCCACTTACATGTATTCATTTACTGTTCTGGCTCCCTTAAGTCTCATTACATCGTTCATTGAAGAGAAAATTAAGGTATTTGTTTACTACTTCACAGGTCACCAAAATGGTCAAAACAGTCACCACTCGAACAGTGCGCCAGGTCCCGCTTGGACCCGACGGCCTGCCGTCGATGGATGGCTCGTCTCCCATGGGCAGCTACACAGATTCAATAGACAGAAGGTATATGAAGAATGGGGAGCGGTACATCACCCCACAGGCGTCGTCCACATTGACCAGATCTTACAACAGCTACAATGATTCCTACCCTGACAGCCACGAGGGCCAGTATCGACCTTACATCGGTCATGATGGTTATGGAGACCTAGCAGATAACTATGGCAGCTTGTCACGTGGCGTCAACTACCGTCCTCGCTACGCCTATGTGCCAGGAAACAGCTACCGGCCGGACGACGGGAGCTTCACTTTGCCGAGCAGAAGGGATAACTATGGTCCTGTTGCCCAGCCTCAGGTACCAGTGGGCAGCAGTGTTGACTTGAACCGCTCTCAGCCGGAACGTTTCCAGCCAGAGCCCTATGGGCTGGAGGATGACAACCGCAGCCTTGGGGTAGACGATGAAGGATATGAACTGGATCCGGATTATTCTACTGTGAACCGGAGGACATCTGCAGGTGTGCCAGAGAGAGGAAGACCCCACAAAGGAAGGTAAGAATCCATTTGTTTCTTACAAGGTTACCTGCAGCTGTTTTGCTCAGTTGAACATTTGAACTCTGAATGGTCTGGTAAGGGCACGGTTATTTGGCAGAAAAAAAGCACGGTGGTTGGATTGTGGTTAATGTAATCGTTAGAATGAAAGAAACATCTTAAAATCTCATAAATGGGAAAACTGAGGGTTGGAAGGAGAGAGGTCTTAGACAAGAGACAAAAAAAAACAGTTTGGGGTTGTAGTATACTTGTGATTTTGGCTAGAGAAATAATCAGTATTTCTTGAAAACAACTGTAGGCAAAACCAGCATGTCCTAAACATAGTAGGAAGTTCACCTTCGTGGAGAAGAGGGGACCTGCCCTACTGTGCTGTGATCAAGGCAGAACACATCACTTCATCAGCCTATAAATAACTGCAAAATGCACATGAAATGGAAAAGAGTAATTCTAGTGCTTAAAATCCCTGTTGGTGTGTTTCTGGACCACTTCATTGAGGCTGAATTTAGCAAGAAAAAGATGATTTCATGGAAGTGGGATAGCTTTTTTTCTTCCTCAAGAAGAGGTGTGACTACACTGAATTTTCCCTGTGCTGTCTCACACTGGCAGGGTGAAAAGGGGTCTTGTAATCTTTGAGACTTCAGATGGGTCTGGTTATGTGCACATCTGCCAAACAATTTTGAGCAGCTGGTTGGTTGCAGATGAGCTGAAGCTGGTGATGAAGGGATGCTTATTATCACGAAGCTGCCTGGTGAGGTGCCTGACAGCATCAGCTCCTGGGCCTGTGCTTATCGTACGCCCTCAGCTGTGTGACAAGGTTGTGCTGAACCTCAGTGTAGTACTTCAGCGTTTGTAAGATCAGATTGTTATTTTGTCCTGTCACTGTAAATAAGGGGAGATAAGAGCATCTGTGTTGAACTAAATGTAACTGAAGAGACCAGTCACAAATTATTTCTGGTTCAATCCCATTCCCAGGAGATGTGCTGTTTTATGCCTTTAGTTGTGCTGTCAGCTCTTGCGTTGGAGGCATGTCTGGGCCTCCTGCACAGGAGGGACGTGGAGGCTGGGAGCAGGTTCAGATGGAGCTCTCCTGCTTGGAGAAGTGACACTGCTTGTGGTTTCATTCATCCTCCTGTAGCTCTGTCCCCCTTCATGTTTCTGGAAGTTCATTTCAAAAGGAATCAAGCTCCTGCAAATTTTAATCTATGTTTAAAAAAAATCATAATTAAAAACAAAATCATAACAAAGAACAGGATGACAAGGCGTATCTTCCAGAACCCTCTTGAGATCCCTTCTGGCATCTTTTCCTGACAGCTTACAACCATTGGGACCACGTCAGAGTTTTGTGGGGCTGAAGTGAATGCCAGCGGCTGCCAGGACACTGTTCTGTTTATCAGGCTGCTGTTTCTGTTTCTCTGCATCTAAGCAAGGTTTGCAGTTCTAGTTAGAACAGTCAGGCAGCAGTGTTTGTAAAGTTTTATTAACATTCTTCAAACTATTTTCATGATAAATAAATGAATGCATTCTTAGAACCTGCCTATTTGCATTTTTAAAATGTATTTTTAAGCATCGCTTTGATTTATTGTTCCTTGCAGCTTGGATAGGACTGATTTACAATTTTTGTTTTACATTCCTTTTGTCGTGAGTTTTTCCATATTTAATATGATCAAGAGAAGTTGACAAGCAATTAGCCTGACTGTGGCAGCAAACCTTAGGTTGTAAGAACGTAAGATTGAGTGAGGGCCTCTTCAGATGTGGCTGCTTTCTGACATTTCAAAGAAACACTTGAGCGATTCAGTAAACCTGTATTTCAGATATGCTACTGATCTGCCAGAAGCTAACGATAACAAGTAGTGCTTTGTGCTAGATGAGGGTAATTACTACCTCATTATTTCCCTCTGGTTTTTGAATGCGGTTATTACTTGAGGGAATGATGAAGTGAACGTGGTAAGTTGGTGGCACCTTTGATTTCAAGAGCTGCTATGTGTGGGGCAGGCCTGGTACTGCTGCCAGCAGGCTCTGCCTCGCAGCGCCGTGCAGCGCGGGCATCTCCATCACTCAGAGCTGCATCGCACAGCGCCTTCGCTGACCTGCGGCGCAAACGTTCTTCCTTCCTCCTCATCCCTCTGTGTCTGTTGTGCTCATCTCACCCCCGTTGAGCCACCTGTGTTTTGTTTTTAATTGGGAAGAATCGTCGTCTCCACAGCATCTGCAGACCAGACAAGTGCAGATACTGCATCTGTTTGCTCTTCCATGCACGTGGATGGGTTTCCTTCTTGTTTTCTTCTGCGCTGAGTCTCTGCTGTAACAGGCATTTTATTCTGAAAGAGGACAACAAATTATGGTGCAGAAAAGGCATTTGGGTGTATTATATTGATCTAATAGTACTCAGATTTATTCGTGATAGCTTTTACATAGTCCCTTTTTTATTTTTTTACGTTCCTTTTTCTTCGCTGAGTAGGTTGTCTTCATTAAATAATGCTTATTTTTACGATAGTTTCTAAATATATATAGTCTTATGGTGTTGCCAGGCTTTTTGTATATAGCCCTTTTTAAAAGAGAAGCAGGAAATACTGGATATTTTTCATTTCCAAAAGACATCCCAAGTATTATTTGAGTATTTTTGATCATTACTTTGAATTTGACACAAACGAGCAGGAGAAAATGGCCAGTCATAACTACTCCTTTTTTTTAAATCATCGTCTCTCAACACCAAGTCTTTTGCTTTTGCAATGATTTGTTTCCATAGCACATCCCTATGGTTTGTGCACGTACTAGAATCCAGGGGATTTATTTTTCCCTGAGAACTCAGGAGCAGCTATTGCTACTGTGTATTCCAGACCAGACAGGATGTGAATTTTTAATTTTAATGGAATTAACAGCAAAAAAGCTTTCTGCTGCTCAATTTTCTATGGCAGGAGCCTGATTTAAGGGACTGATGGTGCATGTTGCTGGTTATTTCATGATCCAAGCAGCTGTCACTGGGAAGTGGGCTGGGTTTTAGGTGAAGGTACTGTAGGATTACTTTTTGTTATGCAGAGACAGCACAGGAGTATTGCTATCACATGTTTCTTATTCATGTTCTACTTCAGCTTGTCTTATGTTTGCAGACTTTCAGTCAATATTTCTGGCCTAACTCCTCTTGCATAGAGTATGGCCTTACAGCAGCACGTAGGCTGGCATCCTTAAGGCTGGGGAAAGGTCTGTCCCTGGAAATCAGCCTCTTTGGTTTGGCAGCCAAATGTAAACGTCATGCCACAGCGTAGCCATGGGATGCTGGGGAGTGTTCAGGGCAGAAGTGTACAGATGTGCTGGGCAGAATGGAGCGAGGCCAAAACGCAGTTGGTTTGGAAAGCACTGATGGTTGTTTTCTCAGGCTGCTCTGTAGAGTTTACTTGATACGGGTTAGTTGATATGGATGCAGACAGCAGAAGACAGATGTATGGCTGAGCTTTTTGTGGCAGTCTGCAGTCTGGCTCAGCTCATCCATTAGTAGCTGTTAGGTGGTTTGAGGCGAGGCGATTTGAAGTGGTTTAAACACACGGCTGCTAACTCAGACTTGCTTGAACAGGGAATTCAGTCCAGCTTTTGAATCCCCTTGCACATCCTTCCATTAGGGAGCAGAGGCTGGTAAAAGTAGGACCCCCTTCTGCAAAGTCTTTGCATCTCTTCTCCATTACACACGGCTCCCTCCTGAAATCCCAAGCTTTTCTGGTCTTGTATCCTAGCAGACACCAGCTGCAAGCTGTGATGAGCGTAGCTGTTGTATAAATTGACGGGGATTAAATGTGGAAATCCTTCACCTGTTTACTCAAACGTGCCTGTGCTGAAGCCACAAGTAAGATGATAAATCCGCAAGCGCTTTCCCGGATTTTATCTGTGCTAGGACACAATTTGATCAATTCCCTGAGACAGGTGATTAGTGAGACTGACAGCATCCCACAATCTCAGCTGTTGTGCTGCAGGAGATGGAAGGCAAGATGCTCGCGGTCAGCAGCCCTGGCACACAGTGGGCTGCTCCTGGTGAAGATCTCATCGCTGCTCCTCCTGTGCCAAGCAGCTTGCCTTTCTGGGAGTGCTCAGCTGGAGTGCAGGGGGAAAACCTCAGTTGGTCCTCTCAGTCTGGCTCAGATGATTTCTTCACTGCTTGGCTGTAAATGTGTTTCTGATTTTACTTGTTTGCTTTCAGAAACTCCTGATAATGTTGTTTAACTCCTGATAATACTTGCAGCTTCTTGCCCCTTGCCTGGTGTGCATTTCTCTGGCCTCAGCTCCCCTGTTAAGGGAGAGGAGATGAGGCTTAACGTGGGCCAGAGCATCTCACCAGCACCAGGAGCAGGGATCCCTTAGTGCCAGGTCAGCCCAGGGCTTTGTGTTCCTTCTGCATGCCACTGCTGTGCCAGTTACTTTCTTCTTGGCAGGCAGTCTTCGTGTAGTCTTTGAGGCTACTGAGCAACAGTTGATGTTTAGACCTTCTCTTGCAAAATGCTTCAGGATTTTTTTGTCCTTAATTTCAGTGTGGACTGGGTGGTGGTGTTTTATTCTATTTGATTGCTGTATTTAGTCATATGAACCATTGTGTGGTACTTACTTCCACCAAGCTTGCCTGTATAGCCCTTTAGTTCATGCTGGAACCTTGGAGTTTCTAGATACTCATTCTGTGTTTGAAGGGCCAAGTATCCAGCCGTTCACTTTGCTGCCTCATAAAGCCGTTGGGTTTGCAGCTTATGCTTTCACCAGTGGTTGGTGAGCTCTTAACACAGTTTTCATACGGAGGTATGTGGAACCTGACTGTGCAGGAATGTTTTAGCCATAGTGTTTTCTATGTGCGTCCTTTCTCTAAAAATGCTTGAGAGATGCTGTTCGTCCTGTTTGAATGTAACTGTCTTGGTGAGCTGAAAAGACCTGTGTGCTAGTTCCTTCTGGAGACATGGCCCTGCAGAATCAGGCTGAGATGGGCAGGCGAAGAGCTGTGTATGTGAGGAGTGGAACTGGATGAAAACCTTGTTATTGCTGCTACAGGAGTTACGTGATGCTCTCTCTGGTCCTGGCAGCATTTGAAGTCCTAATTGTGAAGTTTTACTTCAGCAAATGTAATGGAACCGGAGAGCTTTGTATGGCACAGGGGAGAACGGCGTAACGGAGTTAGGATCAACTGCTCAGTTCTGTTTGTAAGGGTTCAAAGGCAGTAATGGAAGAAAACTGCATCCCAAGATGATAATTATCTTTGTGTGTTGCGTGGGTTTGTAGGAGAGAGAGCGTTAATTACGCAGATGTAATTGAGGTAGCACAAGGTTTCTGTTTAGGCAGCTCCAAGGACTGAGAAGTGCAGAACTGCAGGTACCCATCGAGCAGCAGCTGTGCACAGGGCAATTATTAATCTTCTACTTTCACACAGTCATTAAGAATTTAATATGAGGCTGAGCATGAGAAGTGTTTGCTTTTGTTATAGTTTTAATGCTGGTTGTCCCAAACTTGCTCATGTATAAACAAAATATAGCTTAGGGGCTTTGTTATTACTTCTGCCCTGTGTACATGTACAAAAGTAAATATTTTCAAGTTGTTACTTTCTTGGAATGACGAAAGCAGCTTTGTTCTGCTCTGTCCAGACATGGTAAATCACTGCAGAGCAGGTAATGAATTATGCATACACAAATAGCTGCATCAATACAAGGACTTCTCCAGATGCATTCTGAGTTCTGGATGCTGGCCCATTTTATCCCATCATTCAGCTCAGTGCTTAGAACAGCAGCTAACGTAACTTGAAGTCACTAGAGGTGCTTTTAACATCAAAAGCATTAATTGTCCAATGCTAAGTTCAGTCTCCGCCTCCAATTGCACTTCTCCTCGGAGTCTGCTTTAATTAGCAGTCCCATTAGGGGAACAGTGAGCTCCGTTTTGTTTGAGTTCTAGTGCTCTATATTTCCTTATGCATGACATCCACAACTTCAGTAACATCAGCCAGTGCTTAAAAGTCTGTGCAGATCATTTTGTAGCAATTCAAACTACGTACCTGCAGTGCTGAAGTAGGAGCTGACATCTGTCCAGGAGGGCCAGAAGGAGGAAGGCCCAAGCTGCTGCTGGTCGGGAGGAAGGCAAATAACTGCTTGCAGCTGGGAGTACGTGTGCTGCACTTATGTTTGAGACGTGTTGGAAAGGATGAGCTGTTCTCAATTCTGTAGGGCTTTTCTAAATAGTAACCTTAATATATTTTTTTTTAATTCTTCCCATCTGTTAGCTCTACTGAGCAGCAAAAGAAGACATAAGCCTAGCACGTGAGAAGTCAATTTACCTTAACGTGCAATGAGAGCAGTGGGACGGCAGGATGAAAATAAGAATTTTCTGGGTTTGAGGTAAAAAACAATTGAGCGAATGGGAAGTTTGGCGCAGATCCATAGGTCCCTCAGTGTTCCACCTCGGGCAGGGCTGAGCTTCGAGGCCAAGCCTGGGGGCACGGGATGGGGCTGCCCCTCACTGCCAGCACTGGTCATTGCGCTGCCCTCATTCACACCTAACAATGAGGAACAAGCAAACTTTGCTCAGGACCAGGCAGTCGCTGTAAGTGAGCTGCAGGCTTCCTCTGCTCCATCTCCTGGGTGTCAGCTTAAGTGTCAGCTCACAGTGGGTGCAGCTCACACACACTGTATTTGTGTGAGCACTGAGTCTTAATGGAAGTGCAGGATCTTCTCTTACTTCCTGAGAGCTGTGGTCTCTTTCTGCCCAGCCTGGAACTCTTTCAATCAGTGTTTTGCTTTGTTGCTGCAGTGATGCATTAAGGAAGCTCAGTGTTTCCTACTAAATGTAATCCAGAGCTAACATAATTGCTTTGCTAAGTGACCAAAGTGAAAGCAATCTGTTTGATGTGCAGCTCCTGTCATTGTCTCACTGCTAGCCAAACAGACAACGTGCTGTAGTCCCATCGCTCCTGAGTGCTCAGCTATGATTAATTTTCAAGTTATTAGAAATAAATCATTTGAAAATGTAAATATGTTGTCCGTGATGATGTTTGTGGTATTAAAGGGTTTATCACAGCTGAAATCTCCACATTGACTTGGAGGCACAGAATGTTTAAATTATATAAATTTTTCCTTTCTTTCTCTCGGGACTGCTGCTTCTTACAGGGGCTACGATGACCCCATTGAGACAGAGATGGTGGAAGAGAGGATCCCATACCTCCATGGCAGCTACGCAGCACCGCTGGCGCAGCCAGAGCGAGGAAGCATGGCCAGCATCGACCGCCTGGGGAAGCGCTCCCCCTCTATTGACAGCATTCGCAAGGACCCCAGGTGGAGGGACCCTGACCTCCCTGAAGTCATTGCCATGCTCAGCCACCCTATCGACCCGGTCAAGTCTAACGCCGCTGCCTACTTGCAGCACTTGTGCTACGAGAATGATAAAATCAAGAAGGACGTGAGGCACCTTAAGGGGATCCCCATCCTGGTGGGCCTGCTCGATCATCCAAAGCCAGAGGTCCATCGCAAAGCCTGCGGGGCCCTCAGGAACATCTCTTATGGCAAGGATAACGAAAACAAGGTGGCTATAAAGAACTGTGACGGGATCCCTGCTTTGATCAGACTCTTGCGAAAAACAAATGACATGGAAGTCAGAGAGCTAATTACAGGTCAGTGTCTGTAGTTTCTTTAATAAATTACTCTTTGGAGGAGTCTTTCCAGTTTCAAGAACAAGGATTTCTGGAGAGGAGGAGGTTGCATTTAGATCACTGGCTGCAGCTGTTTGTTTAGCTGTACTATGTCTGCGGCGTGAGGAAGTCTGAGGCTTATGCCTCCTTTAGGTGGAATGCACGATCATCTGTAGATGTAGCACGCTGGTTTTCCTGAGTACTGAGGGTGCTGCTTGGACGTAGCTTGTGCTTGAGCATCTGAAGCTTCAGATGATGCTGTGAGCTATTGCTGTGAGCTATAGCAATACCTTTGACAGATAATTTGTACTGCCCTTGCCCTCAATGTGTTATAATCATGAGGTAAGATGTGCTAATCTAAAACTTTCCAAGTTGATCTCTGCTGAAACAATCCTGCTGCCATGTCCCATCTACTCTGTACTGATAGGTTGGTCTCCTCAGCAGCGTGTCCTGCCCTGGTGCTGATCTGAGGCTATGTATAAATCACTGCATGCCTGTGGCTGAGGATGAGGAGATGCACTAGTGGACGTGTGGGTTGTTCATTACAGTTGGGAAAGGGAGAATGATATCTTTAGGATACTGAGTTCTTGCATGCTTTCCAGGGATTTTTCAATCACTTAGAACTCCATTATTCAGCCTATTTTATTTGAACTTAGTCTTGGACATAGTCCAAAAGGAGTAATAAAGTATATGCCAAGTTTCAAAGTTCAGCCATTAAGTGGAAGAAGGTGGAAAAGTGTGTCAGCTCTTAAACTATGGAGAAATACATTGTTCTTCATCCTCCCATAACTCATGAGGATTGAGATGGATTTCTCTTTCTTTCTCAGAAGCAGGAGGGAAAACCTGGGGAGCTGCAGGGAATTTCAGTGCCAGAAAAAAATATTTTGCCACAAAAAATGGATCCAGGACTGAAACTGTTCAGCTACCTTATCTGTGTAGGGCTGTCCAAGCAGCCCCTATAGCAAATGTGGATTAAGCCATTTGAAGTAAACATCGTAATTCTATAATCGCCTCAAAAATATGGCAGCTGTCCAGATTTTTACTGGTCATCGTAATTCTCTGAGATGAGCAGTGACTTTGGGTGTTCCAACTGTTCTTCTCCCACCATTTATAACATACTTAGAAAACCAGGTCTAAAGACAGTGTGGGTGGGTTTTTTTTCCCAGTCCTTTTCTGTGCAGCTGGTAGAGGAGAGCTCTCAGTAGCATGCATTGCTTTGATTGCTCTGTGTGCTTTGTCTCGTAATGTGGAAGCTCTGTAGGTAGTATTTACATAACACTTGTTGTGCTCATTTAGTATGATGACTTTATTTAAATTAAAAAAAAAAAAAAAAAGAGTTTCTGTTTATCTGCTGTTCTAGTTTACCAAAAACTCATTTCTGGAGTGCTGGGAAGGAATACATTTATTTCTTTAGATTTGAGAAAGGAGAAACCAGTCTGTAATTTACTCTGAAGGAACATCATTACAGTGCTAAGCGGTAATCAGTCACTCTTGAGATGGCAGAAACAAACTGGTTGTTTTTCCTTTTTATTCTAAATGGCGATTGCCTCCATTTCCAGTTGATTTATTAGATTTGCAATTCAAATAAATTTTATTTGACAGCACCTCCTGCTAATTAAATATAGTATTTTTGTTCCACTCCTTTTTTGCTATTTAAAGCTCTTTATTTCCCTTCCCTGAGAAGCACCAGGAATATTGAAGGCCTTAACCTAAGCAGATGTCCAGCAACAGATGATATGCATTTAATCTCCTTCTAACCAGGAATGGCTTCAGTCCACTTCTAAAATGACATCACCAGATCCGGTGTGAGACATTCAAGCATCCGTACAGAAGAGAAGAGTATTCCAGCAATGCTTCTGTAACTGATGCTGGAGTGCTTTGCAGCCAGCATTTGAACCCCAGCTGAAGGTGTGGAACCGTCCACCCAGAAATGAGCTCCAGAAGGCAGCATGTCCAAGGCTGGCATGGGCACGCTGACTTCCTGCGTTTTGCTGTTCCTTTAAACCCAGCTCTGAGTGCTTTCCGAAAGCTAAATCGTCATCACCAGCAGGTTATCCCAGATGTGGATGACTGAAATAATCCTGCTTTCCAAAGAGATTTCAGTACTTTGAAGATTTAAATAATTCAGGTGCCCAAATGCAGAGCGCTGCCATGCGGTCTTTTGATTCTCCAGCTGCAGGGCACTGCCTGCCCGCAGGACCAGCGGTGCATGGCAGGTTACTGCAGGGATCATGCTCTGCAACTGAGGATGATTTCTGGCTGAATCCTGTGTCACTCTGCTTTGTGAGTCCCGGGCTTCTCTGCGGTTCCAGGGCCTCTCATTAACGTGGTGATCTGATGCAGTGGCCACAGCTGTGCAGAGCACTGTGAGTGGTGCAGCCAGCTGGGGCTGCTCACTGGCTAACGGGCAGAGAGCCAGAGCAGTGCGCTGGAGGGGCAGAGGCAGTTGCAGGGCAGCACGAGGAGGGAATCGGGTGTGTGTTTATGCTGAGTGCATGAGACTTGGTGTGTCAGAAGTGCGTTTGCTTGACTGTTGCCTAGAATATGCTTTTTGGAGAACCTGAGTTAAATATATCGATGTGTGAGTTTGAAGCAGATTGAGTACACTGCTGTGGCATTACTGTCAGATTGAGCAAGTTTGTAGCATTTTTCTCTTTCAGATAATACACTTTTAAGTGGAGTTGAAACCTCTAGGTTAATGTCACAGCTGTCTTACCAACTGTTCCTGATTTATCTGCAAATGGCATTGAAACATGATGTCCATCCAGGTCACACAAATACATGGAGCGTTTAAAAGTACTCACAAAACTCAAGATGCAATCATAAAATAGCATAGATCTCACTTTTCTTACTTGGCTCCATCTACTGCACTGAGGAAAGCTTGTTTTCGTATCCATAAGTAAGTCACGAGTCGTGTCGTGGTGAGAAATGTTCTGCAGAACCATCCCTTGCCATCCCTCTCTTGTCTTGGCACTGTGCTGCTGAATTCTCAGTGGATCGTTTTCATGATAACTGAAGGGGAAATGAGGATTAAGCTGATAAGGAAAGAAATCTGTTCTGATTGGGAAAGCTGTAAGCATTTTTTTATCTTGAGTGATAAGGGTTTTTTTCCACAGAGCAAATGTTCCTATCAGATATGCAAGACCAAAATTCTATTACGTTCTTAGAAAAGTGATCAGAGGTTGGTAGCATTAATGAATAATTTTGCTCTTTGTGAGAAAGTTGAAAGTAATTCTGTTGTTTAATGGCATTGAGCAGATTCTAAGTGGTGCAGAACATGAATTTTCTGATGCTGTGTATTGCTGGACTGGTTTTAATTGACAAACGGTTGACCTTCGAAATGCTGTGTGAAGGGTATATTTTGATCTAGTACTGTAATAGAATCTTTCAGGTGGATCAGCTCACACAGTGTTCACACCTGCTGGCCATCCTCACATGTTAAGATCCCATTAGCTGATATGGCACTAATTTCTCTTTGAAGTACTGTGCTGTCCTGAACGTGAAGATCCCATTTTCTGTTAGAAGGCTGTCAGAAGAACAGCCCACTTCATTCGGTACAGACCATAAGAAGGTGGTTTTACTCTTCATTTGAGCAAATTTCGTGGTGACGGTGGATTTTTGTAAATAAGCAAACACAGCAGTCTAAGATTTGGCTTGGATTTTGGAAGGCAGTAGCATCGTTGGTACTCCAGCACGACTTCTTTAGAAACCTTTGCGCAGTTAGCTCCAAGGAGGCAGAGATCTAGGAAATTGCCTGTGGCCCTAATCACGTCTAATGTGGCATACGTTGTGTAGCTATGTTTATAGCTTATAGAACTTTTGAGATATTTTTATGACAATCAGTATTCTCGCAATAAGGACGTGTAGCTGTTGTCCCTGCCTAACATGCTGCAAAAGTGGAGGTAATGACTGCAGTTAGAAATACGTAAGTACTCTGCAAATAGTGCTTAAGAACATAATGAAGAGTTGATCATGATTGTGATTGTCTTCTGAAACGCAGTAGTTCATTATTGAGCCCTAAAATTCTTCCAGTCTCTGGTCCAAAAAAAAGCAGATCCTTGTGAAAGCATGTGGAAAATACAGATAACTTCCCTTCCTTTACGCTGCTGCGTTGACTTCATTTCTCTCGAGCGCTATTTGGTTCAATTGATTAAAAAAGTTTTAAAAGGAGTATTTCTAGCTTGTTAGCTCATTGCTATGTTATGCCAACAGAGGCAGGGAAGGATTCTTACAAGGTGCATGTCAAATTTGCAGTTGTTTCTTTTCATTCTGATTTTCTCACTGTTAAAATCTACAGCCTGATAAGATTTGCTGTTTAAGTTTTCATGGCTGTCCCTGTCTGTGTCTTTACTATGTGATTTGTTCCCTGAAAGGATGCTGGGATTTACATCTCTTATTTCATAACTGTGAATCACAAAAGCTGTACCCGTTCTGTGGGATGTTTTCCCCATAGTCAGCCTCAAATCTGCCCTTTTTCCCTGGCTCTGGATCCCCAGGGCTCCCTCGTCATTGTTGTTTATCTTGAGCTATCTTTCTGTCACATGCTGTACATTTTCCTTCGCTAAATGCTGTTCAACAGGCAAATTCCTTTGGTTTTCCCCCCATGCAACCACAAAAATGTGTTTTGACATTTCTGACTAATTTGAAGAGGTTTCTGCAATGTATTTTTCATAAGACCATGTTCTGTCGTTCTCCTTAGTTTGTTGGTATTTTCTGTGAAACATTTGAGAGGTGAGAAAAAGGCACACGTGCCAGCCAAGGTTTGTTTCCTCAGAGGAAAGGCTTTCTGCACAGCTTCAGCTCCAGTAGGCGTTTGAGGACAAGGAGATTGACGGTCAAAAAAAGGAGATTGACGTCTGCTTCTGACAGTTTTATTGCACAAATTGTGTTCAAACTTTAGTAAGAATTCCGGGTGAGTGTAGGAGATGCTTTCATAGGCTCGTGGGGCTCTGTTGGCCGGATGGTGTCAGTGGGATTCACCTGTGTTGGCTGTAGGTTGGCACAGTTGTGATGTGTCAGTTCTACAGTGCAGTGAGAATACTGCTGGAACCCAGCTGGATTTAATCTCTTGGACTAACGACTGGAGAACGAGGATGTGGAAGAGGGGGAATATGGAGATGACCACTTTATTGTATAGATTTGGGTTGGGGGTACCGAAATTTAAACACAAATCTCTAAGTGTGAAAATGAGCCAAAGATTTTTTGAGCACTGAAAAACTTCCGAATAGTCTCTGTAATTGGAGCTTGTGGAAGTTTTGTAGGTATTTTTGTCTTTTTAAATCTGCCTGGTGGTTCTTAAGCACTGAAATTTGCCTTTGTAGTCTCACGATACAGACAACAAATTTTTGTCACTTCTTCAAGAAAGAGGAAAGGGCAGAATCTCATTTCAGATGCAAGAGAAATTTGTGTGTTTAAGGTTGGAGCTCTTAAATACAAAGGGCTGTCAGTTTTTAAAACTTCACCTTTTCAAAAGAGAAGAAACATGGTGTCCCTGAACACTGTGCCGATTCCTCAATTGTTGCCATCTTCTTTTGCTGCTTTTTTTTTGAGCACTGCAAATACCAAATGCTTCACCCACAACCCAGTGGAGGAGCCCTACTTTATCCTGTTTAGCTTTCTGGGGTGTATCCATCTCGTCCAGTGCTGGGTGTTCTCATTTTGTGTTTGACTTTGAGAAGTTCTGAGCCAGCAATGCATTTAAGGGCCTATTGGTGTATCTGTGAATAATGAAGTAAAAAATAAGTAGTTCAAAAAAGCAGTGTTTTGTATCATCTTCTAAAAAGATGCAAAGCGAAGACACACTGTGTTCATCCTGTTCTCTCATCTCCTCGGTCTGAACGGATGCCTGGATTTTGTAAAGAGCACTTTGAAATGGAGACAACAGTGTGAGACTTCAGAGTCCCTGCTAATCGCCGGCCCCTGAGCTTATCATAGAAGTGCCACTTGCTACTCGGATGGAGATAAAATTCCTTTTCCACACGGTGCTTGTCATGACCCTATACGGATAATGCTCTGGTCTGAGAGAAGGACGTTTGGTGTTGGACACGTCTTGCCGTGGCTGTGAAGGATTGCTCCCACGGGCGGCAGCTCCTCCTGCCTGTGCTGGCGGTGCTGGCTGTGCGCATTGCTGGGCTGCGTTCCACAACCTGCTGTGCGCTCACTGGGGGCTTTGGTGAGGCCGTGGATTTCTTACACGGTTGACAAGTGATGGGTTCAAAATCTTTTTCCCAGTAGGTTTATGGCCGGATTGAAAGGGAGGGAAGCAGCAGGTTGTACCTTTGTTTTTCTTTTGTGTTTTGTTTCAGATACACACTCAGAGGCAAATATCTACAGCTCATACAGTAAGGTGCTCAAATTCACTTAGAAAAGGCAAAGGGAATGCTTTTCCATTCAGTTTATTGGAATTTTTGCTGGTATTCACAGTGCTTGGAGGTCAACAGTGAGACCTGGCTGCCTCCAAGTGTCGCTACTGCTTGTTGCTCAGCACCGCTGGGCTGCACTGTGCTGAGAGTTCTCTCTAAAGCAAATCTTTTCCAGTCCTTCATAAGCCTGAACTGTCTGCACAGCAATGCAGGTCTGCTGGAAATTTGCATCCTGTATCTAAAATGGGATGTTTTACAGGTGTAAGGCCGTTGTGTCATTTTCATGCTTGACATCTTTCTACTTGAGCTCCTAAGTGAGGCAAGAATGGGAAGGCGGCAGGGCAGTTCTGAGTAGCTGCTTCTTCAGGGAATTGTATGCCTATGGCACGTGGTGATTGGAACGCAGATATTGCCTCTGACAGCAAGATGTGGAAGTAAATAATAGAGAGGAGTCTTGAGTGAAATACTGTCTTGTGCAGAGAATAAGTGTAAGATCAATGACCCTCCATAAATTCAGCCATGTTTTTAAGACTTGCTTTTAAGACCTGTCTGCTTCACTGGATCAATTTTTGCTTTTTGAGGTATAGCCAGACTTAACAATATCAAAATTTGCGTATATCAGGAGTGCCCCATCAATCTCCAGTAGCACATTGTGTTTATGTACTCTGTCATGAGACTTAATAAATTGAACAATATCTGTATCTTGGTAAGTGCTTCCACACTGCGGAAATTCTTCATTGCAGCAACTGTGGAGCGTTCACTCGGCTGTGTGCTTCCTCTGACCTCTCATCAAGGGTATTTACTGAATGTCTTACTAGTTTTATCATATAGATTTCTAGTGATTCTCTGTAAACTTAGTGGTTCTATGTAATCTAGAAATTAAAAGTCATTATTATTGCCTTGTTATTTGTTTAAAAATCACTTTTCCTCCTGAAGGCACTCTATGGAATTTGTCTTCCTATGAGCCCCTGAAGATGGTCATCATCAACCATGGCCTGCAGACGCTCACCAACGAGGTGATTATACCCCATTCTGGCTGGGAGAGTGAGCCCAACGAGGACTCGAAGCCTCGCGATGCTGAGTGGACAACTGTCTTCAAGAACACTTCTGGTTGCTTACGGTAAGGTAAACTCTGATGTATTAATCTGTTGTTCACCATATCCTGCGCATAGGATCTTTTTTATATTAGTTTTATTTGGAATAAAATACCATACATGTTCAGTTTTTGCAAAGAAATCTCCTTTTGGTGGCCACAATAACAGAGGTGGAGGTACTTTGTCACATGGACCTTACCAGTGGAAGTCTGCCCAGTGATGTCTGTGTTAAGAGCAGGTGATTGAGCCACATTTGAGAGGCTCTCTGTAGTGAGGTGTTTAATGCAATGGGGAATGACCAAGGCACAAGGTCAACCACCAAGCTGAGTACAGCATAAGTATGTTCTAGTGCAACCTGTACCATAAGTACTGAGAATCATACATTCATTTACCTAATGTAGGAGTGTCTGGTATTTGTACACATGCTGAGCGTGTTCTTTGTTTCCCCTGATGGTGGTGTTATTTATTTTAAGTGTGCTTTCAGACAGCTCCCTTTCTCTTCTTGTACTACTGAACATTTCTAATACTTCAGATATTTCCTGGAAAGGACTTTTTCTGGTTAGAAATGCTATTTGAATTTCTGAGGGCACCTTATGCCTCTTACAGTACATGCTGGTTGTTGGGGTCTGGAGGAGTCCTAACACAGTTGGAAAAGCCTGGGGAATCAATGTTCCCTAAATACTGACTCTTGCACTTTGCTTTTCTCGGAGATAGAATAGTGGAGATGTCCTGTTGCCTTCTTTCAGCTTCATGCTGAAGTCAGGTAGTTTGAATGAAGCTAATAAAGATTTTTCATTGTTCCTTCTGTTGCTCTGAAGTATTCTTCTGTTAGATTTCTGCTGATTAATGCATCTTCAGAACTTGGTTCATTTCTATTTCTTGGGTTTGTGTTCTCCAAATTGCAGTAACTGTTCCCCTGAGCAACTTCACAAATGAAGAAAGTAATGAATGTGTTCTGCAAGGGCCCATTACTGAAATTATTTGCCATCCTGCTAGAGACTGCGGTCCTTCAGGTAGATTCCAGACAAGACAAGGCCTTTCCTTACCAGTGCCTCATTTTCTGATGGTGTTCCACAAGAGCAAATTAGTGGTGATGGGGAATAAAAAGATTATTTGAGTGAATATGAGATTCTCCAAGAAGTGTAGACAGTAGATTGATCGTTAGTAAACTAACCTGATGCACATCGTAAATCTGTGTTAGTATGTGCAGTGTTCTGATCCACTTGAAAGTCTAAATTCCACAAGAACTTTTTTCAAGTAAGGTGCATGTTTTACAGAACACAGAAGAAGCATATATCACTTTAGCTGTTTCCTTTTCCTAAGGCTAATGGAGAGGGACGCAAAGCACAGCATTACTGAGACAAGTTAATTAGAGAATTCCTCTCCTGATACTTTGAGCGGTCCTGTTTTTAAAAAGTCTGTTCAAATACGTGAAGACGGTCAGAGATTGGTGACTACTTCTGTTGTTGAGGGGCAGGATGTGCTGCATCTGTAGTTTCTGCTGTAGCCATGTTTGGTTAAGCACTTCCTGGTGGAAGGTTTGAAGCTTTGCTCAGATGTGAGGCAGGGTGGTTTTCATACCTGAAAGTAACTGCTCAGTTTAAGTGGGGACTTGATGGCAGGTTAGTGGGGAAAGGTAATCTGTAAAGGGTGGTTTATTTGCTGTGCTGCAGGGAGACCAGCCCCTTACCTGGTTGGGAGAATTGTTTTCTTATTTCCTCACTGTAAGAGAAAGTAAGATTAAATGAGTCTGGGACAGCAGGCAAAGATGCAGAAGAAGGAGAGAGATGAGCTGCCTTTCACTTGACATATTTCTTATTGCATTATAGGTGGTATTACATAGCTTTTGCAGAGCCACTTCCAAGATAATTTTGCACTCCCTTCTCCAGCTGTGTCCAAGACATGAAGGTGCTTTAGGAGGAGGAAACAAGTCGAATTGCTGTCGAATTGTGGTGGAGCTCAGCAGTGTGTTCACTGCCATCCTGCCGTGCCAGAGCTCTGTGCTGTGCTGCAGGGCAGCTGTGTAGGCCTGTGGGCTGGGAGCAGAGCTGCAGTCACCTAACCTGTTCTGTTTTCTGTGTACGTGTCCACTGTGATTCTTAGTTTTCTGGAAGCAGTGAAGATTTTACTGTTTGAAAAGTTAGATTCATTTTGGGCTTAATTGCTTCTTCTGCCTAATTAATTTTCTTAGATGTTATTTCAATTGTAGGAGGATGGAGTAGAACTTAATTCCTATATTGCCAGCTTTCTAGCCTGTTTCCTGCTCCAAACTGACCTGCTGTCAACAAATGCTAAATGAATTAATTTGCATAGTAAACAGATGCAAAATATTCTTTTTTTCCAGGCTACCATCTGTGGTTGCAGCATTTCTTGTCAGTTCTCCAAGTACGCAGAAATTCACATTCACAAGTAGCCTTGAGGCTCTGAGACCTGGCTGTGCGTGTGCAAACACAGACTGCACCCACCTGACTTCCACTCAGACCTGCATTCTTCAGGTTGAAGCTGCTCATAGCAGCTTGCTCAACACCAGCTGCTGGGAAGAGGGGGGTGACCTGGTGGTTAGGGGAGCAACGGAGACTTGAGAAACATGGAGTTCATTGCTGTTCTGACATAACTTCAGCAAGATTAGAAACATTTTTGTGGTCTGTTTAGTATCACTGCTTCTTTCTGATTTGGGTGACATTCAGACTCCAAAGCACCTGATGAGTGGATCAGTCATCTTCACTTTTCTTCCCTTCACTTGAGATTTGCACTTCAGCCCTTGAGGCTGGTAAATAGCAGTAGTTGGAATCTTGTCAGGTGGTTGGTCCTAGGGATTGTAATGGAATGAAAACCTCCAGTAGGCATAAATGAAAATGCTGTTCTGTGAAAACAAAAGCTGAGAGTTATGGCAAGTGTGAAGCAGTGTTTGCTGACATGAAGTAAGGAATCAGTAGAGTGGGAGCCAAAAATAAAAATCATCTCTCCAGTGTGGGAAATGATGTGTGAGTGTGTGGTTTCTCGTTACATTAATTTTACTTCAGGGGAAATAGGGCCACAGGTGCTTGATGGCAAATGATTAATATATTGAATGTAGTGTTCTGTATGAGCTTTGAGGAATAAAGCTTTGAGGCTTTTCTGAAGAGGATGGAATGTTTGATGTATGTGTGTGTGCATCTTGTATATATATATGTATATATATATATATATATTTTATTTTATTTTATTTTATTTTAAATTCTCAGGAACTGGGTTTGGATTTCTGTGCTTCCATGTTGTTTGATGTTTACTAATAGACGCCCAAGAGGTGAAGCATGCATTTGGTGCAAGCTGCTTTGTAATTGTGATCCGTTTAATTCTTTACTCAAACTTGTCTTTGTTGGGTGGGGAATAGGAATCCCCCAACACTGCATTCTGCTCTCCCTGAACTCACCTCCCAGTGCCATCAGTCAGGGCTCAATGTGATCCAGCTGGGTTGTGCCATGGCAGGCGTTGCTGGGTCCAGAGTTGCCTCCCCAGGCCTCTGCATGGTCCTGGGGCAAAAAGGATATGTCAGTGCCAGATCTTATGGCCTCCTTTCTTAATGGTTAATGGCTTTTCTGTGAGGAGGAGTGCTTGGGAATTAGGGCTTTCCAAGTGAACCACCTCCAAGCACTGTCTGTATAAATCCCGCTGGCGTGATGCAGATGTGGTGGCAGCTGCAGCAGCTGTGCCCTGCGTGCGTGCAGCTCTTCTGGGGCTGCCTTGGCCCTCCAGGGTCAGCAGTGGAAGGCAGCCTAGTGCAGATCTCGGCCCGAAGCACAGCCCGGTTCTGAGCAGCAGTGAGCTGGGGGATGCCTCGTGCCGGGCCACCCTTCCCTGGTACCTGGAGGCCTTCTTGGGACCTGGCACAGCCTCCCCACCAGAGGGATGGGACAGATGCTGCCATGTCTCTGCCTGCCTCCCGTGCCTGTTGTGCTGGTGTCTGTCACACGTGGGTGCTGCCTCTGGGCACCTGCTGGAGCTCACGGGGCTGTTAGTGTTCAGAACACTGTAGGCACTGTAGAACTGGGATTTCAGCAAAAGAATAGTTCCTGAAGAGATTAAAAAAAAAATAAAGAACAAAAATTTGTCCATGGATCTTCATTTTTCAACACAGAAGAGGAGAAGCTTATCTGCCCAACACAGACTGGAAAAAAACAACTCAAATTCCAAACCCACACCTCTCTGTACAGAGGAGCAAGCGAAGGCGGTTTCTTAATTAGCTTACTGATACTGTGCAGGATCACAGCATATGGCTGTCCTGGGGCTTATATGCTGAGCAGAGCGTTTAATTCGTGCTAGTAAAGAGCTGTTAGGGTTCCTCCTGACAGTTCCTGATGTTTAGCTTGTAATATAAATAAATTATGCATAGATTTTAGCAGCAGAGACGTAACCTACTTACATGCAACCTTAATGCTTTACAATAAAATCTGAAGTATAAATTCAGGGTTGTGCACTTGCTTATTGCCTTCTGTCATTCCTTAGGAATGAATGTAGGTCCCTTCCCCCTGGGCTGCCAATGGAGGAAACCTACAGGAATGTCTGTTGCTGTGGTGGGATGAAGAGATGGGAACAAAGCTTGCTGCAGTCAGTGCAGAGGCCACAGTTTGCTTTGGAAGGCATGCAAGCTGTGATCCTTCATTAGATACATACTATCTCATTTTTGTATTTTTGAGTCTTTAAACATTGCAGTAAGCAGTATGATAAAGCGAGAGGAACCTTTCTTCCAAGCAGAGTCTGGAATAATTTGAAGCCTAAGTAGCTGCTGAGTATTGTGGAATTCTCCTGTAGTGCATTTCTGTGCGGTTTTGCATTACAGGAGAGCGAGTGAAGGCCCTCCAAGGAGGTCGTGCTGGAGGTAAGCAGTCAGCAGCTTTTAACTAAAATGCCATTACATGATAGCTTGGATGTAGAAAGCCACAAATAACAGAAGATAGGCTAACATCTGTATCTTGTTCATCTGTATTGCTGGTGCCTGAGCCCTTGCTTATTGCGAGAGCATCTTAGAAACAACTCTGATGTGATT